TACGCAGCACGTTTGAGCTTCCTCATGGACCAATAAGGTTCATTCTCGTGTTACGCATCACGTTTGAGCTTCAGCAAGAACCAATGAGGTTCATTCTCGTGTTACGCATCACGTTTGCGCTTCAGCAAGAACCAATGAGGTTTATTCTTGTGTTACGCAGCACGTTTGAGCTTCAGCAAGATCCAATGAGGTTCATTCTCGTTACGCATCACTTTTGCGCTTCAGCAAGAGCCAGTGAGGTTCATTCTCGTGTTACGCATCACGTTTGAGCTTCAGCAAGAACCAATGAGGTTCATTCTTGTGTTACGCAGCACGTTTGAGCTTCAGCAAGATCCAATGAGGTTCATTCTCGTGTTACGCAGCACGTTTGAGCTTCAGCAAGAGCCAATGAGGTTCATTCTCGTTAGGCAGCACGTTTGAGCTTCAGCAAGAGCCAATGAGGTTCATTCTCGTTAGGCAGCACGTTTGAGCTTCAGCAAGAACCAATGAGGTTCATTCTCGTGTTACGCAGCACGTTTGAGCTTCCTCAAGGACCAATGAGGTTCATTCTCGTGTTACGCAGCACGTTTGAGCTTCCTCAAGGACCAATGAGGTTCATTCTCGTTAGGCAGCACGTTTGAGCTTCAGCAAGAACCAATGAGGTTCATTCTCGTGTTACGCAGCACGTTTGAGCTTCCTCAAGGACCAATGAGGTTCATTCTCGTGTTACGCAGCACGTTTGAGCTTCAGCAAGAACCAATGAGGTTCATTCTCGTGTTACGCATCACGTTTGCGCTTCAGCAAGAACCAATGAGGTTCATTCTTGTGTTACGCATCACGTTTGAGCTTCAGCAAGATCCAATGAGGTTCATTCTCGTTAGGCAGCATGTTTGAGCTTCCTCAAGGACCAATGAGGTTCATTCTCGTGTTACGCAGCACGTTTGAGCTTCCTCAAGGACCAATAAGGTTCATTCTCGTGTTACGCATCACGTTTGAGCTTCAGCAAGAACCAATGAGGTTCATTCTCGTTAGGCAGCATGTTTGAGCTTCAGCAAGAACCAATGAGGTTCATTCTCGTGTTACGCAGCACATTTGAGCTTCCTCAAGGACCAATGAGGTTCATTCTCGTGTTACGCAGCACGTTTGAGCTTCCTCAAGAACCAATAAGGTTCATTCTCGTGTTACGCATCACGTTTGAGCTTCAGCAAGAACCAATGAGGTTCATTCTCGTGTTACGCATCACGTTTGCGCTTCAGCAAGAACCAATGAGGTTCATTCTCGTGTTACGCATCACGTTTGCGCTTCAGCAAGAACCAGTGAGGTTCATTCTTGTGTTACGCATCACGTTTGAGCTTCAGCAATAACCAATGAGGTTCATTCTCGTGTTACGCATCACGTTTGAGCTTCAGCAAGATCCAATGAGGTTCATTCTCGTTACGCATCACGTTTGAGCTTCAGCAAGAGCCAATGAGGTTCATTCTTGTGTTACGCATCACGTTTGAGCTTCAGCAAGAGCCAATGAGGTTAATTCTTGTGTTACGCATCATGTTTGAGCTTCAGCAAGAACCAATGAGGTTCATTCTCGTGTTACGCAGCACGTTTGAGCTTCAGCAAGAGGTTAGTTCTTGTGCGTCAAACCGATTCGGGTGAGCTTCTGTTCAATGTCTACATTATAGGTTAATAAAAGCCTAAAGTTAATGTTCATCATATAAAGCGATCGAGTCTCTTCAGACAATTTGGAATAAACCGCTCAATTCATATGGATTACTTTTAAGATCTCTATGAACTTTATGAAGCGTCAAAGTGGTAGTTGCTTAGCTGTCAATGGAGGGACAGAAAGCTCTCCGATTTCATCAAAAAGATCTTGATTTGTTTTCTGAAGATGAATGAAATTCTTACAGGTTTGTAACGACATACGGGTGAGTAAATGATGACAGAATTTTCAGTTTTGGGTGAACTATCGCTTTAATATGTGGCAGAGGGAGTTTCTCTGAAACATTTGGTAACAATTTAAGCTAGCAGAGGTAGGGGGTATATGCCCTGAACACCTCATTAACCTGATTGGCAACACATCAGCACCTGGGGACTTTAGCTGATAAACCACCATCAGGACACATTCAGAGGGAGCACCCTGCTAAAAATACACTGCAAAATACTTTCCTCCCTTTAATCACCTCAAAACCATGCTTTTCTTTTCCCTACAGCCAAAGATGTTGCATGAGTACAAAACCACTAACACCTGAACAGCAAGTCTGGAAAACTTGTGTTATGAGCACTTGGCTAAACTCACACGAACATTTAAACTAAACTTGGCAACAGAAATTACATTTTTGGAGTTGAATTGAAATCAAAACTGAGCCCCTTTCCTTAATTCATGTTCCTGGTCTTCTTGTGCACGATTAATTTACCAATGCATATTACTCAACTGAAAAAAACATTTGTAGCCTGTAATCAAAAATAGCATTGAAATAATAACTTTCCTATTACACTGATGTTACTATGTACAGATTTAGACAGTTTCAGCAAACTCATTCAAATCTGTGCTTATTCTGGTATGTAAGATCCACTTTTTTACCATCCAATCAATTCCTGATGGATACATTTATATGTCAGTATTTTGCGTTTAAACAGTTTCTTGCTTGAAGTGCTTTACTTAAAACTCCACCATTCCAAAGTTTGGGGTTGATTTGGTTTCTTAATGATTTTGAAAGACATTGCTCACCAATGCTGCATTTATTTGGTTACAAATACAGTAAAACAATAATATTGTGAAATATTGCAAAATAAAAATTGTTTTTTAGTATAGTTTATTCCAGTAATGGTAAAGCTGAATTTTCAGCATCATTAATCCAGTCTTCAGTGTCACATGATCCTTCAGAAATCAGTCTAATATGATGATTTGATGCTCAAAAAACATCAATGTTGATAATGTTTGTGCTGCTTCATATTTTTGTGGAAACCGATATTAAAGGGTTAGTTCACCCAAAAATGAAAATTATGTCATTAATGACTCACCCTCATGTCGTTCCAAGCCCGTAAGACCTCCTTTCATCTTCGGAACACAGTTTAAGATATTTTAGATTTAGTCCGAGAGTTTTCTGTCCCTCCATTGAAAATGTATGTACGGTATACTGTCCTTGTCCAGAAAGGAAATAAAGACATCATCAAAGTAGTCCATGTGACATCAGTGGGTTAGTTAGAATTTTTTGAAGCATCGAAAATACATTTTGGTCCAAAAATAACAAAACCTACGACTTTATTCAGCATTGTATTGTCTTCCGGTTCTGTTGTCAATCCGCGTTCAGTGACGCTGATGACGTAAGACGCTGCTGACGTGTTCTGGTGTGTCCGTGTATTTGGGTTCAAATAAATATGGCTGGGCAAAAAAATGCAAGTCTTCCTCTGTTTCGAAATCCTTAGACATGTTTGCGAAGATTGTTTTGTTTACAGCGTGCGTCTCCCTCAGACTGTAAAGGAAGCTCGGGCGCACCAGAACACGTCAGCAGCGTCTAACGTCATCAGCGTCACTCAAAACATTCTAACTAACCCACTGATGTCACATGGACTACTTTGATGATGTCTTTATTTCCTTTCTGGACAAGGACAGTATACCGTACATACATTTTCAATGGAGGGACAGAAAACTCTCGGACTAAATCTAAAATATCTTAAACTGTGTTCCGAAGATGAACGGAGGTCTTACGGGCTTGGGACGACATGAGGGTGAGTCATTAATGACATAATTTTCATTTTTGGGTGAACTAACCCTTTAAAGGGGTCATATAATGCCATTTTTGTACAAGCTAATATGATTCTTTAGGGTCTAAATTAAAAGTTTGTAATATACTTTAATTAAAAATTCTCATTAGTATTGTAAGAAAACACTTATTTTACCAGGTCAAAAACAGCTGTTTTCAGCACGCCGTTTCAGTGCATAACTTTAAATGATAATGAGCTTTGCTCACCCCGCCTCTCTTTTCTGTGCGTACACCGTTTGTAACTCAATAACACAATAACCATAACGCGTTGTTCAGTATAAACGTGGGATTATAAATTATATTGAGAACATCATACATAGAAAACATGCCGCAATGTACCCTAAGTGTAAACCTTAGATGCATTCATTGTGAAGCGTGCAGCTAGCGATTTGCAAAGATTAATATATTAATATAAAGTTTAATAAAACGTTACACTCACTTCCGTTCTTCTGGAGATTCAGCAGGAACACGAATAGCTGGTACCGATCCTTTTTTCATGAGCAGCTTCTTAGCAAAACCAGCTCATACTGACCCTCGTTTATAAAGCAGTCTGGTGAGAAATGATTCGCGCAAACATGAAAGCATTGACGTTGCTCGTGGGGAATATTCCCTTCGAAAACAAACTCAGCCACTGCGTCTTCAGCGGTTCGGATTTAGGAATATTAAAATGACTGCTGTGTTCGTTATTACACCCAAGAACAGAACACCACAATCGCTTAGACGCCATTCTGCTCATAGACAGTGCTCCAGTATCAACAATGACCGCGCCGGTCCGCGCGGACTATGATTGACAGCTAGCTCACGAGCGAGGGGCGGGTCTGTGTTGAAACGCTCCTGTCAATCAACAATCGTGGGAGGGGCTTCCGACCGTGTGACGTCACACGGTCGAACGGCTTGATTTGAGGCAGGGGAAAACATATGGAGATTAAAACAAAAACACTGGATGGATTTTTATCATTTTATGATGGTTGTGTACAGGCACTGCCAACACACATTTCAGTACAATCAACTTGTAAAAGTGCATGTACCATTATATGACCCCTTTAAGATTCTTTGAAAGTTCAAAAGCATTTATTTAAAAAAACAAACAAATGTTTTGTAACATTATAAATGCCTTTACTCTCACTTTTGATCAATGTGATGAGTTCTTGCTAAATAAAAATTTCTGTAGTGCATGTCACAGAGAAGGAAAACCGGCTGCGAATGATGTTACACTTTGAAGTTCAGCTTTTCAATTCATGTCAGAAAAGAGCGAGCAACCAAGGGTTTAATCTTTAGGATTTTATTAAAATACCTTGTGGAATTTACCATCAGAGGTTACCATCACAAACATGATTGTTTTCTAATAAAAAAAGTAAACAAAAACAAAAGTAAAGCTTAAGAGCCTAGTTACAGGATTTTTTTTGTGTTGTTTTTACTTTTTTGCAGTCTGGTGATGGGGGGGAGGGGGGGATCAATTCACAACAAAAAGAAGGTAAGAGAAAGGAATAAAAAGTTCACATGTTGTAAAAATACATTTCCCAACTTCAACGTTACACGCAGTTCTATTAAAACATTCATTCTTCTGTTGTTAGGTGTCAGTGCGACAAATACGCAAAAAGAAAAGGAGAAAAGAGCGATAGAGAGGAAAAGTATCACTGAGAAAGACACTCACTGTTGAAAGATGGACTGTGTAAGAGAGCTCTGGAGATCTTCGTTCGGATCGAGGAAGAGTGTAACTGGCGGCTGTAGGATATGTGTGTATTAGAACCCTGAGAGAGAAACTGACTTCTCCAAGTCCATATCTGTCCTCTCCAACCTCCCTTCATGGACTAGATGTCACCACATCAGCGGCTCCTGAAAGGGTCTTTCATAGTGCCCGAGCATTTCACACCTCAAAGTGAAAGCCATTCGTGTTCTCTAGAAATATGCGCCAAGCACACAGAGCAACATATGGCTAAATAAATCAGCTTCCTCTCTCTTGCATGTGTGTTTGCAGGGGGAAGAGGAGAGGTCGGGGATTTGTAGAGGAAAAAGCCCACCACTATCTACAACATTAAGGCAGCGCGGGGACCACATGATGACGGGGGCCTTCAGACGAGAAACGGGATTCCTGGATGCTGAGGGTGAAAGTATCGAACGAGACTCGTCTTGAAATGTTTCAATACAACATGTTGAACACTGAATGACACAAACTAGATCAAAATGTCTAATTTCTTGGTTAACACATAGCACACATCTCATATCAGAGATGATGCCGACGGCAAAGAAACACCACGGTAATGCTAGAAGAAACTCGAAAACTTCAAAAACCTTGTAGTACAGAGAAATTTTACAGAGCAGCTATAAAGTGTTGACGAGAAAGGGCATCACTTCATTCTATGAAAAGCTGCACGTCAATCAAAATTCAACATCAAAACGTGGCCAATGGGGAAGCGAGGGGGAGGGGCCTGATAGGTACGACCATCTCATTATCATGCATTAATCCATGAGGATTGGCAATTGAGGACGACGGCCATGTGGGGACACTTACCACAACATCACCTATCTAGAACAAGCTGTTTGTAGGCAGAAAAACATCCCCAATCACACTACTGCCATTTCCAAATAGTTTAGGACCCCTCTTCTCAGTTTATTAACATACATGTCGACAAAGACGTGAAACTGTGCTCCTTTATACAGAAAATTACAAAAATCACAGATCAAGAACTTTCTAAAGCTAAAGCCTGAGATTCAAACTACACCTAATGAAACAATATAATAGACATCCTATGCTTAAAAAAAAAAAAAAAGCTTTATTTTGTCATTTGCAAATTAACTGATGTACTGGATAAGCAGTCGCACACGGTCACATACATGCAGACTTCATTCACACCCCCTCACAAATAGGAACCTATGATCTAAAAAAGCTGTACAAAGCGAGAAAGATTTGAGCATACATTCAATATCTGTTACTGAGGTACTAGAAAGGCCTTTCTCTTCAGACAGAACGCTATCCCGAGACACTCTCCTACCTTCTTTGGAAAGCAACCAGCGTTTCAGTGACCTAGCTTTTACATTCTTTCCACCTTATCTTCTGTGCTCTAAATGGTGAAAACGCAGAGAAAACAAAGGCTGAAATCATAGAAGACGCCCATGCAAATGTCAAGCTCAGGGTATGACCTGCTTTAACAGTGTGGCACAGAGCTGCCACATCACCCATCCTGAGTATCTGGAAGTGTGTAGATGAGTGACAGATTGAGCAGCCCACAACAGGTCTGAAGCTTCACGAGAAGGCTCGCTGTGCAACCATCGGCTGAGCCCAAACCTGAGGGGGAAAGCAAGTCATCGCCACCTGCTGGCCATCAACGTTACTGCAGCTTCCAGAGCACATAAGCCCCAGCTCGCCTAAACCAGGACTTCCTCCCAAAAAGGTGGATGAAGTTCAGTTTGTTTTGTCAGGCCTGTATGAAAACGTATTACAAAGTGTATTAAGAGTTTAAGTGCCTTGTGGAAAGGAGGCAGGGCAGGGCAGGGCAGGCGAATGCGCTACACAGTGATTTCATGGGAATCGATGGAGGGGGCGAGAGGACGAGAGCGGAGATATGAAGGGTGGAACGGTGTGCCTCGCCACGTCAAAAAGAGAAGGCCTAATCGGAAAAGGAGGCACAAGGAGGAAGTACAGCAAGAGATAATCCAGGACAGAGAGAAGATATGGAAAACAAGGCAAATATTCTTCAAATGGCTAAGAATAAAAAAGGTGCCAATATTATCAGCTTAGCAATGGTGGATCTCAGTATGAGTCAAGGGGAGGTCAATGTTGTACGCACATTGTATAAAGGGCATCTATTTTTTTGTTTTTGGAGGGAGAGTTAAGATGTTTTGGATAGGTTTTGTTAAACCAGCTATTTTACAGTTTGTCAAATGATTATGGCTTTGTTTGAAACTTTTGTTTATGAAGATGGCAGCCTACGAGCAATATCCCATCATCTAGCTGTTCACAAAGCAGCACAAGGGGCGACACAAAATAAAATTAAGTCAGCCATCACAAGACGATGGAATCTCACATATGCAATTTCAAATGACACTGTTATGCAGACCTCAGGCATTACGGACGCTGTAAATCTTGTGACTTAAAGTGGAGCACATGATCAAACCCCCAACAGCTCTGGGGGTAAATCTCTCTTGTTTTCTGAAAGACAGAGAGAGAGGGAGAGATGATGGACAATTCTAGAAGATGCCTTCCACATGAAGAGAGAGTAAGAGGAACGCGAAACATCTGAGCTCTTCCCATGGACCGAGTTACTCTTAGCCACGGGCTATCACCATTAGCCTTGATCTCTGTTATTGAACACCAGCTGTGAAATAAACACTGATGGCTGCTGAATTGAATCAAATATGTTAGCCAGCTGTTACTTTGTTTTGATGATCAAGACGGGACAGGTTGAGAAGGTTTTACAAATTTATGCTAAGAGGAGAATGGGCAGGGGACGAAGGAAAGAAAACAAGGTCCATGCGTTTATTTCCACGCTGTTAAAACAGATTAGAAAAGAACAAAATGTAAGAAACACTACTCGGAAACAAACTCCAACTAGTCCAGAGTAGATACAATGCAAAGGAATTGGGATTTCGTAGCTTACAAATAGTGTGTATCAACCCAATTATTGAATCCTTGAGAGAAGTTATTGCTTTCTGCCAGAGTGATCAACAGAGGATACAGCGAGTGGAAATGAGGGGTACGTTTGGGGTAGAGGGTTTCACTCCTGGGTTTGTACATGTGTTCTGTTGGACTGGGATGACCCAAGGTCACATTGAAAGCAAGGGGTGTCGGTCCCCCTGGGTGAGGTGAAAGGGCATCAATCAGGGCAAAGATGGAATGTGCTGGGATGCTATTGGTCAGAAGGGATGTCTCTGTCCGCTTCTGCCTTGGAGGGTTGTCCAGGTGATGGGGTATGAGGCGGGTGTGAGACCGGGGCAATGGCGTGGGCCAGGGGCAGAGATCCAGCCACAATGCCCTCCACTCCTGCCCCGGCTCCAGGCAGCCCGCCCGCTGCAACACCAATCAGCCCCGCAGGGAACCTACGACAGAGAGACGATCAGTTTTTACTCTCTCAAACAACATGCTGACATGCTGTAGGACATCTAATAGCAGTCGGGACAGAGGTGTAGTCACCTATAGGCTGCAGCTCCGTTGAGTTCAGAGTGCACAGTGGTGGCCTCCATAGATGGCCACTGAGAGGCTGCCATCAAATACTCCTTATTCACACAGTTCTTCAGACTGTCCGGGATACGACCTGCACGGACACAAGAGAGCATGGACCATGAATGAAAGCCTCGCATCAAAGACACTGTGTCATTCATAATCAGTCATTTATACAGCGTCGTCAACACAAGAAAGGGTGATAAACTCTCAGGGTTTTATATGTGTTTTATTCTGATAGAACCAGCTAAGAAAATTTCTTTCATTTGAATTGAGAGTATTTTAATTAGGGCTGCAACAACCAATCGATTATGAAAATTGTTGTCAACGAATGTCATTATCGATTAGTTGGTCTGCTTATGTCACGGGGAGCGTTTACTGGTGATTGGTTGAAACAGGCCAATCATGATGCTCTCTGTCTTACATGCGCTTCATGAGGCACACACGCACTAGGGGTGGGGGAAAAAATCGATTCTTAGATGCATCGCGATGCGGACGTGGACGATTCTGAATCGATTCACAAATGTAAAAAAATCTATTAAAAAAAAAAAAAAAAAAAATTTTTTATAATTTATAATAACGTAATATTGACGGAACGCGAAAGACGGAACTCTGAAGCGCGGAAGTGCAGTGGCCGGACCCGTCTGTGGCGTGCACATAACAGAGACGCGATGGCTGAGCGCGCTAAATCCAAACACCCTCCTTGTTAGGTTAGCTGACGTGGAAATATTTTGGCTTCTGAAGTTGAAGGGGGAAAGGAGCTGGACAAGAGCAACCCTTAGTTGTAAGCTTTGTAGAATAAAACTAATGACGGAAACACGACAAATATGAGAAGCCATTTGACACGTTTCCAGTCAGAGGAAAGAATTTGCTACAAGTATGCTCCTAGTTCAGGCACACATTTAACTAATTTGCGGGCATCAGGGAGCCGCTATCAATATGCGGGTGACTCCCGGAACTTCCAGGAGACTTGGGATGTCTGTGTTTTGTCTCAAGCATCAGGTTGCGCAATCAGTTCGATCGCAATATAAGTGATGGATTAAAATAGCGCTACCACAGAAATAGGTTGAATTAAAACGGTGTTTACAAAGTGAAGCACTAAATATAAAGGCAGTTAATAACAGCAGCAGTAAAATATTGTTTTTTAGTCACTGTACTCAGTGGTTTTCAGCGAATGCTTGTGCACTAATGCATCATTTTTCCTGTCCTTTTAATCAAGCCAGTTAGCTTGCTGCGTACCTCCATTCCGTTCTCTTTTTATAGCATTTGTCTACTAAGTTTTAACTGTTTTCCAAACGCGATCTACTGCGGCTCTACGTTCACACGCTTGTTTTCGGTCTTTCTATATTTATTTTATCAATTTATACTTATAATTCAATTAATTTTAAATAAAAATTAAATGAATTATATATTTGAGATATTTTTAGTTTATATCGTCAGATCTGAACAACATGTTGCAACATGTAAAAAAATTTTAACAAAAATTGTGTTAAAACATATGTTGGATATTATTTTATTTATTTATTTTTACATTAATCATGCATGGTCAACTTGCCATCAGCAATTATCATTAAAAACAATGCAAATATTGATATTGGTAAAACTCAATGTGTGGCTTTTGCACTTTTTAAAGTACACTTTTACACATAAATACCCTGATTTAGGGTTATATTTAGTTATAATAAACAAAAAATCTAATTGAATTTTTTTCCCCATTAATCAAAAAAATAATCGTCCGATTAATCGATTATCAAAATAATCGTGAGTGGCAGCCCTAAGTTATTTTAACCTCCATTTCCTCAATGATTTCTTAAATTACTCCACAGACGTATGATATTGTGAAAGGTAGTGACACCAAAAACACCAGCATACAAAAACGGTAATGAAAATCTCTTCGGGAAGAGCAAGGCCATTTTAACTAACTTGTTAGAGAGCAAAATGGAAACAAGACTACGAAAAGCATACAAAGTGCTTTTTAAGCTCCCCTAACCAACACCACACCCATCTGTAACAGTTTTAAACAGAAAACTGCAGATTTTACTCAATCATTTCTAAAGAGGTAAAATTGCAGACGCTGAACCTCCATACTGAAATAATAATAAAAAATAATAGTTTGGCTGTGAATTTGTTTGATGATCTGTTAACATTTTTCTTAAGTTACCAAACTTCACAAATTTCAGTTGCTTAATTCACGCTGGCCTTGTCGCGGTGCAAAACGATTAAAACGATTAAGCACTGTGTCATGTGCTTAAGTGACGGTCTTAATCTGAACATCCACACAAAAACCTGCTGCAGCTCAATTATAACTGCACACGTAAGGATACTTAAATGTTTTGTATTACTTGTTTATTCTATGATAAGTGTTGCAAAGCATGTCAAACATAGAATAAAATAAGTGAATCCTCCTGCAAAGCATTTATTCGAGCAGATATTCCCAGCAGGCACAGGCTGATAATGAACACCTGGTGTTTTCTGACCTGTGATGGCTCTGCGCACCTCCCGCGCCGCCTCTTCTCTGGCCTCAATGGAGGCCTGTTCACTGTACCAGGATGTGTGTGGGGTACAGATAAGATTTGGGGCGTCCTTCAGTGGGCCCTGAGAGAAACTGATCAAGAAAATGTGGTTAGTGTCAGGTTAAGAAATAAAGAAAAAAACTTGTGTGTGTGGGATGGGGGTGGGTATAAGGGGGGAATCACAGGCCAATCGTTGAATATGGACTGTAAAGTTATTGGACTATAAAATAATGAAAGCAAAAAGGAAACTTGTTTCTCTCACCTGAAGGGCTCTGTCTCATGGACATCCAGCGCTGCTCCCCGTATTCTGCCCTCTTTCAGAGCCTGGGCCAAAGCTTTCTCATCCACCAGACCACCACGCGCAGTGTTCACTAAGAAGGCGCCCTGACGCATCTACAAAAAAAACCCAAAAAACAATGATATATAATAAAAGGAAGCCAATTTACCCGTGTCGGGTAACCTGCAAAATACCGGAAATGGTGCATTCCATGGACGAGGAATCATGGTCAACATTATTAGACCGTTTTCTACTGCTGCATATATTAAAACCCATTTAAAAACAAGACTATAGCATAGTGCTATTGTGAATTCACAATGGCTGAAATTCAATTAAATCAACATATGCCCTGCGGGTTTAATATATATATGCGGTGCAGGTTTGTTTGATTTATATTATGAATATTATATACTTCAACAGTGTTGTTCTATAAAACCCATATGATTTCTTGCTTTAGACACTTTATTTGAACCAAATATTATTGCCTCATTGTTATTATACATGTATTTTAAGTCATTTTAAAGGCTATTGTATGCTTAGGTCTATTTTTATTAACACAATTTTTTTTATTCAGCGACATGGGCATGACAGATTTTGCACAATATTATATAGTTTCATTGATTTTTTTGATTTTTTATAAAGCAGCATTATAACCACGCAATGTTTATTGACTTATTTTATTTCCATGGATATACATTTAAAAATATTTTTGCAACATAGCGCTTTCTATATTATGCATTTCTATAATAAAAATACATGATACATCTCACTTTACAACAAATGTAGCAAAATGACTAGTAAAAATGAAAAAAACTAACAGCCATATCTCTGCAAGCAGAGACTGTTTTTAGTTCAATCAATCTTTCTGTAATTTATGTATTTAGCATAAAAAAATACAACTCGTTCAAATAAACGGATTAAAAACTTAAGATAAAAAAATTATTGCACAACCACCCAGCAGGTGGTGATAGCACAACGAATATAAAATTGACATTAAAAAACAGAAAGTGTGTCACACTTCAACTTAGTGTCCATTTCCATGCGGACTCCTGTATTTGGCACGCTGTTAAGAATGTCTTTGAGTGTATATCATGATGGGTCTTTGGAACCGATAACCGCGAGTAAGAAAGGTTTGGGTTAATCAACCAAGACTTCAGGGTTTATGTGACAGTAAGTTAACCCTGCTATTTCCCAAGAGTATGCCATTTTGTCTGTGACTTGTGATTGAATCACTTTCAGTATTTTGCTCCTTTTAGGTTCCTTAAGACAGAGATGACAATATTTGTGTGTCTACCACAGTTGTCAAGTCAAGTCAAGTCACATTTATTTATATAGCGCTTTTCACAATACAGATTGCATCAAAGCAGCTTCACAGTGATAACATGAAAGTAGTACAACACAGTTCAATAATATTGTTGAATATTAAATATCCCCAACTAAGCAAGCCAAAAGCAAGGCGACAGTGGCAAGGAACCAAAACTCCATCAGATATGCTGGAAGAGTAAACCTTTTCCCATTTATCTTGGGAATAATTGTGTAATACACACAGGCAGTTTACTTTTGAAAATTAGGCCAGATTGCCTTCATACCAAATGTGAGCCGTACTGGACTTCACATGACCAAGATGAATATTCCAGTCCTTCATTTTCCAGAATGGGGTGCGGACCCATCGCATAAACCCAAGTTCAGAAAACAGCTTTCACAGAAAGCAAATTAATCAAACTCTGATGTCAAACAGACCCAGGTTCATACCAAAAGCAGTCAGAGAACCAAATGGCGTCAACAGTGCTGTTAAACGAGAAGAGCGTTACTGGAGAGCTGCATTTGTACCTGTTTGATGGTGAAGTCATTGATGAGGTGGTGGTTGTGTTCATTTAAGCTGCAGTGTAGCGAGACGCAGTCCGAGTGGATGAGCAGGTCCTGTAGTGTAGCCATGCGCTGGAGCCCTAGTGATCGCTCCACCCCATCCGGCAGGTACGGGTCATAGAAAATCACTCCAAACCCGAATGCCTTTGCCCTGAGAGCAACTGCCTGGCCCACACGTCCTAAAAACAGCCATCATAAGAAACCGTTTTAGTCTTAGCTCAGTTTTGACCACATTTTGACCTCACTGATTTTCATTTTAAGGCAAGAAAAAAAAAAAGTCACCAATAACCAATATCACCAAACTTCCACAGTTGGCTTTACATTAAGAATTACATTTTATTTTATACAACAAGTTTTCTGAAATGTTGTTGAAATATGCAAATTAGGGCTGCACAATAAATAGAAATTATCAAAATATCACAAAAGTGCATGTTGCAATGGTTTCCGATAACTAATCTTTTAATACCTCAAACGATTACTAAAAAGTCCAAGTTTTAGGTCGATGCAGATAGCAGAGAATTACTGTTACATACGTGTGACATGGTTAATGTTATTAGGCGCAATAAGCGAAGTACTCACACGCAGAGGAAGCCACATCTCAGACAGCGCATAACCCTGATTTCAGTTCTCTTCCGCAGCTTATATAACCAAATACACACAAATATGTCAAAATGCTCATCTTGGTGAGTATTCATGTAAACAGTCAGTTGTGTCTTAAGTGGAGTAAAGAGTTGAGACAGAAAGTGTGTGTAGCAATATATTGGATTTGTGCAGCTTTTAAAGTGACAGCAGCCTTATAAACCTGCTTCTGTCTGAGTGCTTAATGATAATCACACTACAATAGACAGAGAAAATCACTTACTGCTCTTGACGGAATAACTTATGTATCTTTAATAAGTGTATATTTAATTCATACAGTAAAGACTAAGCAGTGTTTATTTTTACATTTGATTAATTTCTGTTGCTTAATAAACCTAATGTAGTTAGGTTTACACTGATGTTAAAATGAAACACTTTATGTAATGCAACAGTAAAACCCCGCTGTTCGCTTTCAGAGGTTGAAGGGATGCTTTCTTCTCACAAAAAGAATGTGAAATATGCATGTTGGTTATACCATTTTGAGGTTTTTTAGATATTTAAATAGGGCTGTCAACGTTAATGCATGAAATTAATTAAATCCTTGATGCGTTAAAATAATTTAACGCAAATAAATTACTTAAGCATGTGAAATTGCATCATTAACAATTTATGTCACGCATTTACATGATCTTAGAAGTCGTGAGTTTATCACATTTAGCTTCTACAATGGCACAAGCACCTGTAACACTGGTAGGCGGAAATTTCTATTCTAACCTTTTAATCCAATTTCGCTTCTGTTTGTGATTAGTTTTGTCACCATAGAAAAATTATACTTTGGTATCTGACTAAATTACCTCAATACCAATACTGAATCAATACCACAGCAAAAATATAAAACAGAAAAAGTAATTGAATAATATGACAGAAATTCATTGATTTATAAAAAATAAAATAAAACTCACTTGACCAGTGTGTTCCTGCCCTGCATCTTTGACCATTCCCTTTAGGCCTATATTGTTCAGGTAGGCTACGGTAGGTCTACTTAACAGTAGTAAGAAATTAAATCAAATGTAAAAAAATAAATAAAAATAAAAAATATATATATATTTTTTTTAAAGCACAGCGTAGTCTTCATTCTATAAACTAACTGCATTCTGACTCTTAATAAATATAGTTAGGGTATTCAGTCAAGCAGTGGCCGGTCTTCTATTTTCTTTTATTGTTTGATTAACAGACCGCATCAGGTATATTAGGCTGCTGTCACTTTAAGACCTGCAGTGCATGAACCCAATAACACTGGAACACATCCCAATTCTTTCTCAACTGTTTTTGTTCACTAAAAACATACACAACTGTTTACTTGGAATACTCTCCAGGACGTGCATTTTTTATTTTTGACCAATCAAGCACAATAATCTGCGAAAGAGAACTGAATTTATGATTGCATGCTGTCTGAAAGGCAGCTTTGTGTGCGCACGCTTCAGATCTGACCACAGCAGAGCTAGTAGTGCATTGAAATCTGAAAACTTTTTAACATCAAACACGTCAGGTGCTTTATTTTCTCATGCATGCATGTTTCTATGTTGCTCTAAGATGTCAATCCATCATGCACTGCGCAGATATGTTTTACTCCCTGGAGTGGAACCAGAGCTCTGCACACACACCCTGTCACACATCAACGCAAATGAAGGACAACGGCTCTTATTAGAAGAGTCATTCTTAAAGTACCAGCACTAATAAAATGTGGTATCATAACATTTTTAATAACAGGGTATTGTGATACCTTACTAGTACGGGTGTATTGTGCAACACTATTTGTGATTAAATAATTTTAAGTAGTGGTGCAACGGATCATCATTGATCCGTTCGGATCAATATCTTCGGTTCGGCACACACGTGATCCGCGGATTGATTTATTTATTGAAAAAAAAAAAATTGTACGCATGTTCAGTCCACACACATCTCCACAGCGTGGTCATGGCGAGCGGAGGAACGGAGGAGCTTGAACGCCCCGCGTCATTTAAATCTCCTGTATGGGAGCATTTTGGCTTCCCTGTCAAATATGATGATGAAGGAAAGAGGTTAGTGGATAAAACCCTGACGGTGTGTGTAGTAGGGTGGCCATACGTCCGGATTTTGACCGGACAGTCCGGACTCCGGAGTTGCGCTAAATTGGCCTAAAAAAAATTGATAGCGGCTCCCTGATGCCCGCAAATTAGTTAAAATCTCCTGGAATCTAGAGCGTGCATGCGAGACAGAACATACTGCGCGCATAACATACATAGCGCGCGAACGGCAGAGAGGGAGAGAGCGAGAGACCTTGCGTGTGTTCGCGCATGTAAGACAGAGAGCATCCTGATTGGCCTGTTTCGGTAAGTCAACCCCCCTAATATCTTTAAAAATAAGATATTAAGCTTTGTGCACTTTAAGTTGATTTTATATATTTTAATTTAATAATTTAAAAGTGTTAATAAACAAAAAGACAAAACTTATTAGTCTTGTCTTTTTTGCTGATCTGAAAAATGATCCGATCCGTGACTCTGATCCGAGAAACAATCGTGAGTTTTTTGATCCGTTGGACCCCTAATTTTAAGTCACTAAACTCCGGGAAAGTTCAGTTATACAGTAAGCAAATTCATTCAAACAATCAGTCCAAAAAGCACTTATTTAAAGAAAACCAGGCTTATTACATCAGAGAAGGCAGAGAACAGTGACTTGTGGCCAGTTTTCAGTTCATTATTCATTCCAGTGTCTGTTTAGCTTTAAAACACAAGCTCTGTCATATTCTGTGATTGCTTCTGAAGAGCGAGTGCCCTCCCGCATCGCGCTGTTTGAAATACAGACTAAACAGAACTTCTTAACATCCCACTGCTGGAATGCAAGCTACATTTCTCAGCTGAATAAAGCAAACCAGCGTATCGCTAGTAAAGTTTTGATGGATGTGGCTTGTAATCAAGGTAAAGAGGATTGCGGTGACGTACAGTAGTTGTAGAGTAAGTGCCCAAGTCCGTTATATTTATGAGCAAGCAAACAAATGTTTTTATCCGTCATGTGTATGTTGCTGTGTTTAGAAATTCTGAATGGATCCATGTAGGTACAGTGTATGCATGCAGTCAGGTCGGGGCAGTTGGTTTAGTTGTTTTTTTTGGCATCACCATGTGGTCCTGTTTGGTATGACATGTCTAAAATGTAAACAAGCTCTTTGTTGTTGCATTGTACACATACTGTAAACTGAATTCAGAAAAGTTCAATCGCGTTTAATTAATCCTCGGCCAAACCCCATTCCACAGCCTGTCACACACCCAGTTTAAGAGCAGTTTCTTCTTCTTGTAATTAGGAATATAGTGAGTACATGTTTTACCTTCACAAATTAAATACTCAAAGAACATTTGCATTTAAAGAAAGGCCATTTTGAACTGTGTTTCTATTATTTACACACTTTATGAAATTTCAATGTTTTCAACCTAATGCTTTAAAAGACTTGACTCTTTGTGATGTAGTCATAAATAATTAACCATTTGCATAACTTTAACACAAGGTTTTATCTCTCAAATAATAAAAGCCAACAGAGCTTTTGCCGAAAAGTGAGCTAATATCACAAACTATACATGATATAATATCTGTTTTTAACCTAGCGCTAAAATGGTTACCACTGATGAACATATTTGGTTGATAAAAAAAAATAAAAAAATCTATACTTGTGCGGATTATAACCCAGAACCTGACACGCTTGGCAAAAGTTAACCACAAGCCCATTAAGCAAAATCGCTGATCTATGCATTTACCGGTATTCACGTGAAAATTCTCGCCACTAACAATATTAGTAGATCTCATTAAAAGACTAATTAAACCCAATGCAACGTTACTATTGAAATTGATTTCTAGACATTGTAATGTTATTTTTTTTCTAAAATTGTTATTGTTGCCACACACACACACCTGTCACACACACACTTTTTAAAAACAAACTTACGCCACTGATCATGTGTTTCTCTTAAAACAGGCACGGAAATTCATTAGAAATTGCGCTGCGGATAAATCAGCATGATCAAAAACTTGCGGTCATTTTTTTCCTTAAAATAACTAATCAATAATGTGAATAAAGGGAGTAATTTGATGAAACTATTTCAGATAGCCCTTCGAGCAGGCCGGTTATGCATTTTGGTAGCCCGACTGGAAAACACAATAGCCCCGGGACGTCGGGCTAGCGATTTTGCGAGCCCTGAGAGAGTAACCTGCTTTCGCTCCACTCCAGGCTTTGATCACATCCCCCTCAGCAGGGTGAATTCACCTCATCTTTCCTTAATTTAAGACCTATTCAAACTGAAATTAAGAAAGTTATTACACTATTTGAGAATTGTAAGCATATTTACGGCCTTAAAATTATACATAAAAAAGGTGATTAAGACATAAGGACACGTGGGAACCCTGCAATTAAAGCTAGGGTATACGATTTCAAAGATTGTTCATTATTAATATCCTCGTTTAGATGCTGGTTATGGTTATATAGTACAATCCTAACAATAGGAATAGAAAAAAAGAATGAAAAAAATCCATTCACTCTATTGGCTGTACAGCCGCAGAGAAGTTGACCAATGTAAGCTGTCCGGCCGGACAGCTTACATTGGTCAACTGCTCTCATCCAATCACCAGCTCCACTTGAAACTCCGCCTGGCGCTCGCGTCTCCACCGCACCCGCTCCCCTCCTGCGGCATGAAATTGCGCGCGTAAGCAGCTGACAGTCTATGGTAGCTAGCTAAGTAGCATATCAGCAATGGATAAAAAAAAAAAAGACAGCAGCAAGCATCCCCTGCTTGCCCCTACAGTAAAGTCAGGACGAAAGAGAAAGTCATTAGAGGAACGAGCAGAGATTTTAAAAAAAATGTGAAGAATGCGAACTTTGAGTAGGATAAATATATGGACCCTCCACCATTGACCGTTGGAGGAAGCTTCAGGGTGATCTGGGGCTGAAGACCGACGCTGACACGGCTGACTTTTTGTTGAGCAGGTAAACATTTATTTATACTTTTATGGTGTGACGTGTTACATAAATAGCTTTTTATCAGTTTGACAACTTGCTCATGCTGTCGGTCGGCATTGGAATGTTAGCCGTTTAGCATCGCCTATCACGGGTCAAAGTAATTATATTTCTTGAAGTCCTTGAATATATTTCAGTAGGCCTAGCGGGTTTCTGTTCGAGCTAGTGTTGCACGGTGCACCGATACTTCAAAAGTATCGCGATACTCGGAAATTAAAAACTTCAAGATACCTAAATTTATTAGTATCGATACTTCTAAGAATGACCGCGTTCCAGATTTGTAAGAGAGTATTGCATGTTGGTGTGTGCAACGCACGCTTCCAGTGCCTCCCTATGGACGTCTGTGTTTTTCTCCTCATGCGCGTGTGACAGGGCGCGTGAACTGAACGAGCAGAGAGAGAGAGAGAGAGAGAGAGAATGAGCGAGCCCCGGTCGCGCGCGCGCACTCTCTCTCTCTCTGCGGAGCCAGGCGAAAGTATAAACAAGGCTTCACCGTCTCAAAACTAAGCGCTGTCTTGCTCTCTCTCTCTCTCCCTCGCACATATTAATCAAAATAATTCGACACGATGGTAAGGTCGGGAGACTAAAGTTTCATGTGGAGCATTCGGAGTATTTTTTTTTTTTTTTTTTTGAATTACCGCTGGGTGTAAATTGTGGTAAAATACGTTGCCTTATCTTCTCTGAATCGTTCCGCACATTCAGCTGACATAAACCACACTTTAAATAAACGAAAAAAACTATCCAGTCATGAAATGTTTTCTGTGATGACAGTGGGATGTAACCATAGACAGTAAAAGAAATGGACAGAGCGATCTCATTGGAACTCAGTTGAGACAGTTGAAGCCCACTTTTAGCGATTTTTGAGAACTTCCGTTCCTGATGCGCAGACTCAGACCGACTCAAACTAAGCTTGATGACGTGAGCAACCTGTCTGACAGACGTTAATCTTCTAGTAGCTGTGCGTGAACATTGCCAACGTTAATCTTGCAGAGACGGGGAACTTGAGCAAAGAGTCCTTTATCGTGAGTGAGGAGGGGTAAGTATTCCGTTGCTTTTATGGACTCATTATCTATGGGCTTCTCTCTTGACGGGACGTCCCCCCGATTGCCTGCGAGCTTCTCCTGCTGTCTGTACGGTAATTTCTGTACAGCGCGACAGAGAGTCGAGTGGTTATGACGCAATCGTTAGCCTATTTTTACTAAAACTGTTTCTACGGGGCCATAATGTAACATAGAAGGTAATGGAGCCATTTATACATTGTCGTGTTTCTTTAGAAATAAATAATGGACAAATGGAGTCTTTAAACGCCTCAGATGTAAAGTTATTCGCTGTCAAAGTGACGCCAAAATGAATGGTAGTCAATGGAAATGCTAACGCAAGTGAAGTTCTGCTACAAGATGGCGGCACCCGGCCGGCTTCAACTTCCGGTCGATGGATTACCCCCTTGGATGTAACCGCCTGGATAATCACACAACGCGCACACGTCCGATAATGACACGTCCAATTCGCGAACTAATGACTCATTTGAACCGATTCGTTTTAATGAATGGTTAAAACAACTGAAATGTCTGAATCGGTGTATAACTAATCGTTAACACTTTGTAATAAGGTTTCATTTATTACATAAATTACATAAAACAAATAAAAACACTTGTTTTTTCCCCCCGAAAAAGCATATGACTACTTTTTTCCACACAATGCTATCATGAATCGATAAGAGAATCGTTAAAGAATCGAATCGATAAGCAGAATCGTCAGTGGCATTGATATTGATAAAATCTTATGTTTCTTATGATAACTGAGATAATGCTGCTAAATTTATTTATTTTTTTACCTTGAATGTCATTGCTCTAATTTATTTTTTATATTTTTCATATTTCATATTTTGTTCAAATGGTTATTATAGCCTATCTGCTGTTCAAATGTTCATTTATTAGTGTGTTATGATTGGAATGTTGTCCCAGTTTTAAAATAAAGCACAGCAATGATATTTGAGAGTGTTTCTCCCTTTTCAGGAAAAGTATTAGGGCTGTTGGAACGAATTCCGAAATTCGAATATAATTCGAATATTTAAAAAATCAATACTATTCGAATGCTGAAGTTACTATTCGAATATTGTTTTTTTATGTATATTTTAATTTTTTTTTATATATATAAACAGGAAAGAGGCCGCACTATGCATAAATTGTTTTATTTGCACAAACGCGTTTCGGCGCGTGCCTTGTTGTGCAAATAAAACAATTTATGCATAGTGCGGCCTCTTTCCTGTTTAACGTTATATATTCTAATCATCAGGCCAGTTTAAGTTTAATCATTGAGTGAAGCCTGCTCCTATTCCCATTCATTATTTTTTTTATATGGAATCTTGCCTTTCTCGACACCTTGACTTACACGCATGTGAAAATGAAATGCTTTTGTTTCGTCTGATGAACAATAACGTTTTTGAATCGTAACACAATTGTGCACGTTATCCACGCTGTATCATCATAACAATACTGTCAAAAATGGTAAATGTTTAACAACGTAAAAAACGCCCGTGAAGCGCAAATATCTCGGTGAAAACTCAACGGATTCGGCGAGCACCAAACTCGTTGGAACCGTCTAGTCGAACTGAAAAGAACGATATAAGTTTCAGAATTTTTGGTGGTGTTTTAGCGGAGATATTAGCCGAAAACCATCGGTAGCGCTGCAACCATATTCAGCACGAATAAAATGTTTATTGTAATGTTAGATGTCCCTCTAGTGGACAGAACGTGTAACAACCACATGCTATAGTGGCATTGGCGATCCATAAGCCTGAGTAAAGTCGTAAATATTAATAATAGGATGAATTTGAACATTTAATATTCGAATATTATTCGAATATTAAATAAAATAAGGAATGGAATTCGAATAGTATTATAGAGGAAGATTGACAGCCCTAAAAAGTATCGAAAAAGTATCGAAATCGCAATTCTTGACTTGGTATCGGTATCGAAACAATAATTTTTGGTATCGTGACAACACTAGTTCGAGCCGATCGAAATTTGAACAAGATGCGCTGTGTGCTGCAATAACAATTACTGAAAACCTTAGCAATACTAGTAGGATTATACTAATGGTGGTGGGGAGTTTAGAACATTTCATGTGTTGCTAATCTTGCGTTGACGTGAACTCAAATGTGACATTGAATTGTTGATGAAGCAACTAAGTTCAAGTGTCTAAAGGCAATTTTACATATGATGTGTCATTAGCGAGGTCATTAGATTGAACATTACATGAACTGACATTACATCTCAGTTCCGATGTTTACAGCTTGACTGAGTGACGTAGTTCAGTTCGTTTCCCGGTGGGAGGGATCAGGTAGCACAGAGGGGAGGTGTGTGTGTGTGGAGGGGCGGGATGCGTTTAAAAAAGATTCAGGCTTTCTCGACCGATTTTCAAAATCGTATACCATAACGGAAATCCATCCTAGTGACGGAGAACTTTAATCCCTGATTATCATATTGCAAATTGCATTATGTAACAAGTCATCGCATTTTCTTCAATGTCGTGCAGCCCTAATGCAAGTTAAGCATGATATAAATTAATATGCACTAATTTGCATACAATTCCAGAACAGAAATCCTAACATTGGATAAAGCCTTGTTCAAAATTCTTGTTTCATTTTATTGACATACTACAGTTAAAGGTTTTTACAAAAGGGATTTTGGATATCTCTTATCACTCATAAATTAGAAAATACCACCAGTAAAAGAAAATGAGCATGTACAAATAAAACAGTATAAAACTAGGCAAATGATACACAAACAAACCTCTCTGTAATAGAGATAAACACAAAACTGTATAGTTTGGAGTAAGTGCTGATGAAGGTGGAGATTTCAGCCTTCTGCATGAGAAAAAAAATCTCATTTTAAGAAAAGCATCTTTAAAAATATTTATTGTAATTGAAGTCTACAGACACACAAAAAATAAACACTTAAGGGTATTTTGGACGTTTTCTTTCCACTAGTCTGAAACAACTTATGAAAAGCTAAATAGCCCAAAATTGGAAATCGACCAGTGCATAATTTTTTTTGACTATAGTGTCTTGCTTAAATCTTCTTTAGTGAATAACTATTTAAATAAATTCTCCATTAATATTCAAATGCTGCTGTTCGTCATGTTTTATACTTCGTTATACAACTTATATTGTAGTTATATATATTGAGTGTAAACATGCTGTCAGCTGTCACCTTAATATAACTGATTCATTCAAAAAGCCTTGGTTTTCCTGCCAGCCCTGATTTAATCATATCAGGACTCACCCAGTCCGATGATGCCCAGCGTTTCCCCTCGAATACGCGCAGCGCCTCCGGCCACCTCCCGGATCTGCTCCACGCTGGAGGCACGGGTGCCCTCACGCAGAGCCTGATGCATCCAGGTGACGCGGCGATACAGATTCAGAATTAGACACATGGAAGTGTCTGCCGTCTCCTCCACAGATGAGGCTGGCACATTACACACTGCTATACCTGTTTAAGACGGAGAACCAGTTTAAACGGTCAGTCTGACTGAAACTCATTCAATCAAACATGATCATTTCACAACACAGGAACAAAACTCACCCAGCTCTGCTGCAGCTTTTATATCAACATTGTCAAATCCACTGCCAATCCTCACAATGACCCGAAGACCTTTAAACTTGTCCAGGTCGTCTCGCGAGAGTGTAATGGTGTGATAGAGCAAAGCACCAACAGCCTCATTTAGGACCTGCAGCAGAACAAAAACCCATTATATACTGACTGTATAAAAGCCTTGGATATGGGCACAACATGTGACATTACCTTCTCGTGGATCTCCTGTGTGGACTGGGCATCACAGAAGGCCACGGTGGCCACGTCCTTCAGGATGGGCATCTCAACAGTACAGTCCCGCCCATCCAGCAGTGCCACCAGAGGACGAGGGTGCATGGGCCCATTGAGGATGGGTGGTCGAATACCTGCAGGACACCAAAGATCATCTTAATCATTTCTTACACGTAATGGAAACACAAATTGATCATCAAATTACCACAATTCTCATCACAAACACTACATGTCCTTTACATGAACCTAAAAGCAAACATTTAAGTAAGTACAGTAAAGCAGCACCTAAACTCGAACAGCCAATGAGAACAAACACTAAAGCTTATGGATACTAGAAGGGATGCTCTGATCGATCGGCCACAAATAGCGTTCTATGACTCGATCGGGAGTCACTACAATAGGCCGATCTCACCAACCGATCGCAAATTGACAACGTCAGACTTTAGCGTCGCAGTCATGTCATCACCAGTGTGGAGTTATTACGCGTTCTCCAGAAACAATGAACTTATCTTACTGGGCTTGAACGGTCAAATACACACACACGTGACAAAATGCCCATTTTTGCGAGCAAAGTCGTTTATTAGGAGTGTGAATCGTCACTGCTCTCACGATTCAATTCGATTATGACTATCAACGATTCGATATCATGATGCATCGCAATATTACTGCACATGGCTACATTTTCGTCAATGAAAACAGCAGTCAGATATATGAACTCCCTTTTTATTTTATCTGCTCCAAGTAAGTACACTTCCTGAATATAGTCAAACAAAACTTAAGTCTGAACACGGCAGACAACAGGAGCATTTACAGCTAATCAACACTTGTAAATACTAAAAACACATGAAACTGTCTAGTATACTTAAAGGAACACTCCACCCATATGCATTAAGCTTTCCATTGTTAGAAACCCAGTCATACTATTGAATGGTCGTGAAACACTCTCTCTTTCCCCTGAGAGGAGAGAAATCCGCTATTTACCTTTTTCACTTCCTCCTACAATGACGCAAAAATCGTCATTTTACGTCATTGTAGGAAGAAGTGGAAGACTTGACTGACGGTGGTAACTGACTTCTGTAAAGACTACAAGCACTAGTTCAAACCCGCCCATAGGGGGTTGGACCTAATGCGCTAACAGAGCTATCACAGATCAGTGGGTGGGACTTCACTTGTAGATACTGAAATCAATATCAGCCATCTTGTTTATAAGCTAAGCTAACAAGCGCTGTGGAGATAGGAAGTTATGACAATGACGGAAGAAACTAAACATGATATGGAAGAAACTAAACATGATATGGAAGTAGAGCATTTTTGAAATTCTGCTGCTCGAATCCGCTGTTCGTGGCTATCTTTACGAGCCGCAATTTAGTGAAGAGCAGCTGAGCCTGATGGAGGAACAGGAGGCGGACGAGGAGCCCGGGCTGGGCGGACTGCTGGTGCCTGTGCTCTCGCTGTGCGCGACGGACACAGATAGAGTCCGTCTGCTGCAGAGAATTTCAACGATAGCAATTTCTCCTGGACGAAATCTCTGAATCAGACGAGCACACGGACGTTTGTGTTGTGATGTGAACCATCCTAGTGTCGCACCGCATATGTTCTGACTGAAAATCCAGGTATCATGCAATAATTCACCATATAGAAAGAAATACAAACGAGGAGTAATTCACTAATGAGTTTGCCAATGTAACGGGGTTCGTTGTCGTGGGAAGGAGGAGGCGGGAACCGGCGAACATTTAAACATTTTAATAGTAAAATAAACAAATACAAAACAAAAGTATAAGCCAGCTGGCCACACACAACAGAAACAAAACATAAAATCAGGCCTGTTCCTTTTGTGCTTCCGCTCCTCCGTGAGAGATATGAGACCGCTGCGTCTCACAGGTGTCATTCATTATCACTCGCGCCGTCCTCTCACGTCCCTCGTCCTGTCCGCCACAGCCAACTAACTACACATTCTGTGTGAAATGAATTTCAAACTCTTTTGGCAGCAAGTCTTGTAGACGGAATGGAAGAGTGATTTCTCTGTTTGCGCTGTTCTGGATTAGTGGGAGTGGCTTGCGGAGCTGTGCAATGTGGTGCATTGTGGGAGTTGTTGTCTTACATACAAATGCGCCCTAAAGTTATTTTCTGTCTTTTCTCGGTCAAGAGGGCACCAAATTCAAAATTTCTTTTACATTTCGACTACATATATAACCCACTTTCAATAAAGATTAATGTTGAAATGGTTGGAGTGACCCTTTAAATTACAATAACGCTCACACGACACGCACATACACACAAGCTCACGTGTACACACAAGCTCGCGCACACACGCGCTGTAAATGTGAAAATGGTGGGTGCTTTTTTTATTACTTGCTTTTGTGTTTCGCCTCCCTCCGCCATGTTACGCTAACGAGACAAGCGCGTATGCGACGAATGACGTCAGAAACGTCAATAGGCTATAATTGATTATGAATCGCATAGATCCACATCGCAATGCATCGTAGAAATTAATTTCAACACCCCTATTGTTTATGTCTTAAGTGAACATAAACAGTGTATTCTGTGTTTAAGTGAAAGCAGGCTAATAAAGATGCTGCCGTCCTTGCCATTCATGTTAATCAAATATCATCTCATTGCTCTCAACTAAATCACTTTTGTGCAGATTATGCAGTTTTTGTACAGTGCATTTAATTACTCGATGCAATTTATGTTATATTTCGATTCAGTACAGCCGCATGCGTTTTGGACGAAAAGAGGAATAGATAGACTATATTCCCCCCCCAAAAAAATTTATAAAGTGAATCCTGCCTACTTAAGTAGGACGTAGGAAGGAAGAAATGCTCAGAACATGGTGAATAATATTTCTGACCAGAATACTTATTTTGTAATACTCATCTTTTTGTTTTTGTCCTCAGTCACATATTGACATATTGGACAATTATTTAATTACACCTTATGTTTGACATTAAGTCTTGTAAGCTCTTTAATAAGCCAGAGTATCCTAATATGGATAATGTTTTGCATAAGCCTATTTTAGAGGCCTATTAAATTGTTCATTGCAAAAGTAATATTTGTTGTGCTTATTTATTTGATTCTCAATTAAAACAACAATCTATATCATTACTGTAAAAAACATGTGGTTTTTCCCCCAACTATTTATAAAAAAAAAAATAAACCACCGGTGGGCCCAAATTCTTTACATTTTTAAAACAGTAATATCCTATACTAAACCTAAACTAATCTTGACAAACTATATATCATTTGAAAGCTTACAATCTCTAGTTTCCATATTTGGTGATTGATTTTCAAAATAAATTACAGAGGAGCCGTAATTTATCAATTTGCAACAATAATATTTTCATACTCTTAGACCTTTATTTTGAAATAGTGATGAACATGAAAAATCATGAAAGAAGGGTAGAAACCTCAGTTTGTTTTCATTCCAAGAGTTCAAAAGATAGCATCCATTCAATTATTAAAAAAAAAAAGGTCTGAATTTTTTTTTTATATAAAGAAAAAAATTATATGATGTGGCAGGAAGCTAAAACGCACATGCGTGTTCTTTTTATGTTTCTTAGAGGTTGAAATCATATCAAAATCTGCCAAACTTCTCATATTACTTCTGAATAGGATGTCTACTTCATAAATTGTATGAAAATTGTGGAAATAATGGTTCATATCACTCAAAACACATATGGAAATGGAGGCGCCCTTATATGGGCAGTGATGGAGTCTGGTTGTCATCTAGTGAAAAAGTTTGGTACTGCGCCCAAACAAAATCTTACTGAAAGCTCATTTTTTGAGATATCAACCTACAATTTGAAACACAACTTGTTCAGATTTTTGGCTTTGATTTTTTTGCAGTTTTAGAGTCGCCCAGGTTTTTAAAATATATATTTTATATAAAATATGAATAATTAAAAATTTTACATTGTACATTTTCATAAACACAAACTTCTATAACTTTTTTTCTGTTTCACTTTCTTAATTTATTTCACTTCTACAAGAATCTGCCAAATGTCTTCTTTAAAACAAGACCAATCTTACGTCTATATTCCAAAGCATTCTTGAATTACAACCATTTAAGTTCGAAATGTGCATTTTCATGTATATTCAAAAAAAGGGGGGTGACACTTAAAGGGTTAAACCTGACATTCAAGAGAGCGCTAAATTATTACTTGTATAAAGCTTGAATGATCAGGATCGGCATCAGCAAATCATGATGACAAAAAAAATCTGTAATCTGTATCGGCTGCAAAAATCCTGATCGGAGCATCCCTAGATACTACTCATGTTAATAAACAACAGCAACATCTGCCATCGTTCGCAACCAAGATGACATTAACTTCAACGTTCATTACATCAGATTAGCAGATTAACCAGCATTAAATAAATTAATCCTGTAAAAACATCCTTAAAATGAGAATTTGCCATAATTTTGCCATTATGAGAAGCAAAACCAAATATTCAAGCCTTTCAAGACTATCAGCATTTCTTTTTACCAAACAGAGTACGGATGATTTCCGTCAACAAAACGTCCATATCAAATGACACCAAACTATTAGAAAGCCAGAAGTGATTTATCATGTTTTGAATGTTAGTGGTCTGATAAATTCCAGGAAACTATTTTATGATTGTTACCATTATGGGGCAAGACAACAGCTAACAACTCCAGGGTCCAACCCAACCCCCCCCCCAACCTGACAAACGAAAGTGTGAGCAGGGGACGGAGGGAGGGAAGGAGATGGGGAAAGGGGGCAGGGAGTCTTCACATGACTCATAATGACCTACATTCAGCAGACTGGAAGCTAAATTATCTTTGTCTCCATACTGCTAAACCACCACTAACTACTTCAGGTTTAATACATCAAAGATAGAAAGGTTTAATACATCAAAGATAGAAATGTTTAAAAGTAATAGAGAGGGGAACAGGAAAACAAGCCCCAACCCCAAAGTGCACAGTAAATCCTGCATGGAGCCATACATAATTATGCATATCAACATTTTTAGATGTTGCATCATTACTTATTTTAATGATAGCTGAAGTGATCGTTCACCCAAAAATGAAAATTGTCATTATTTACACACCCTCATGTCCTTCTTAAGTTTCTTTCTTCTGTGGTACATAAAAGAAGATAGTTTGAAGAATGCT